AACAGGACCCTGTCTTTTCAATAGGCTGATGACTTTCATTAAACAACAATTGGATGCCATTAAAATGCAACCCATACAGGTCCATTACCATAGGCTTGAGATGGCCAACAGAGAAAGTTGTGCTGAACTCGAAAGAGTACACTGCGATGATGCCCAATCCAGGTAAAGAGATTTTCTCACCTGGGTGCGATGGACTGGATAGACAGAGACGGGCAACTAGAGGCTCACATGCGGTACCGACCGCCACCTAAGACAGGAACTGGGCCTCCCGCTGCCCTGCTTTCCTATGACGGGAAAGGTCTGGTTCGGCCCCATGTGAAAGCATCTTGACCCAAGGCAGGCACAGTCTCCTCAAGGAGTAATGGCCTTTGGAGTTAAAGTAAAAAGGGGGACCTGTGGGAAGCCATTAATTGGTATCCACTTTATAATAGTGTCAGCCATTTTCTTAAGTTTCTATTCCCCTGCTGAGTTAAGTTTATTGTCCTTCTCACCTTGGCCATTCCCCATGAATCACGTGCTGTGCCCCAGAGGTGACACCTTCTCCCGTTGCCTAGATACCTGCTGACCCCCTAGAGCCGAGACTTCCTCATTCCTACGCCCCCTATACATACCCAGCACCTCCCCTGAATAAATGGGACTTGATCAGAATCCTGTCTTGTCCCCATTCTTTGTGTCTCCTGTCCTTTCTCATCCCCACTCCCCCTCTAGGGTCCTCGTTGACTAACCCGCGGGTCGGGACAGCACACTATGACTGTTTGTTCCTTTCTCGGCAGTGCCTTCCACGTGTCAGCCATCCCCAGGAAGCTAGGTTGGGTCGGGACAGCACACTATGACTGTTTGTTCCTTTCTCGGCAGTGCCTTCCACGTGTCAGCCATCCCCAGGAAGCTAGGTTGGGTCGGGACAGCACACTATGACTGTTTGTTCCTTTCTCAGCAGCGGCTTCCACGTGTCAGTCATCCCCAGGAAGCTAGGTGAACGCAGCTGTGGCACCAGAGCCACGCAGAAGTGGCTTACTGAGGCCTGGGGGCCCTCTCAACATGGAAGTCTTGCCCAAGGAAATCTCACTGAGGGCTCCATATGAAACAGTGAGATTATTTCCATGTCAGACCAAAAATTTTAAAAAACAGAGTTTATCAATAAAGCCAGTCATTGGACTCTTTCCAGCTTACAGATCTTAAGTGTTTAGATGGTGTCTGAAGGTACGTCCCAGTCAGAAGCACACCTGGACTCATTTTTAGTTTCCTCTCTGCTTAAATACCTTCTCAGTTTCCATGGCAATGGGGAACTCTTCTTTGTAATTAATTGTTTTCCTCTTATGTTTACAACATCAGAACGAGGGTGGGGAAGAGGTTCAGGAGTGACAACATCTTAACAAGTGTTGGGAATGATTGAAGGAATGACAGCATCTTAACAAAGGTGGGTGTCTCAGTTACTTTGCTCTCATTGCTGGGAGGGACAAAATACCTGACAACCAAAATTAATGAAGGAAAGGTTTATTGAGCTCACAGTTAGTGGAAGTTTCAGTCTATACTCTGCAGAGTGGCACACATCAGAGGGCAACAGTTCACAGTGGCAGAGAACAGCAAAGAGCAAAGGGAGGAGATACACCACAGCTTCTAGCAAGCCTCTCAGCCTGCCTAGCTGACTGCAAAGACTGGAGCTCCTCTGAGGAAGTGGAACATTCTATTTTTCCTTAATTCCCTTTTATAGCCTTTAAGTGATGAGTCCCTTGAGGGTGGGGCCTCCAGGCCATAGGAGGCTAAATCTCTGCTCCCCTGATTTAGTTAAGCTTTTAGTTTTCAGTCTGACACAATGTATCAGCCACCACACTGGGGAAGGATTAAAGGAGTAACAACATCTTAACCAAGGTGGGGAAAGAGGGAAGGAGCTACAGCATCAACAGTGGTTGGGAAGGCAAAATTAGAGCTTCTTTTGCCACGATAGAATTAATCCAATTGAGATTAACCCCCTAAACCAAGAAGCCCAGTGGTGTGCAAGGCAGCCATGGGGTTGCTGACCAGGAATGCTGTGGTCTCTGTGGCTGGGCAACCTGCTGCAGATAGACCTGCACAACATACCAGACTTCCCAAGCTAAGGGAGTTAGGGTGAAGGCCACAATAGAGCATGGGGGCCCTCAGTAGTAGACAATGAGTGGTGGGCAAGGCCACAGATAGCAGAGGCACAACTACCCTGAGAGTTAGCAGGTGGACAGGCTTCCCTGGGGAGGGCACATCCGAGTGCACTATGGGTGCAGGGTGACAGGATTGAGTCTGAAACTTGAGGAAGAGAACAATGGTGGGGATATGGAAGAGACACAACAAAGTGCTTGCACTTTCTCATCACAGAGGTGTGGGAGGACAAAGGCCTGGAATTGGAGCAGGATGAGCAGCACTGGTGGTGCCCAGTGGGAGACAATGTAAGTTATGTAGGGCCCATGTCCATTCTGATGCTATCACAGGGACAACTCTTCCAATAAAGGGGTGGATCAGTGACTACAGCAGCACTGCAGTCAGGAAACTGAGGTTTACTATGGTATCATAACCTGCTTCAGATCTTATGGTGCTATGACTTGGGGTCTCAAATGACCCTGAAATTCCTCAAACATAAAAGGGGGATGCCAGCGAAAACTGCTCCTCAGCTGTGGACAGCTCACCCTGTCACCCATGAGACTTATTCCTGGCTCTGGATTGTTCCAAACCCCCAGGGAACTGCTGGGCTCCAGGGCTCTCAGGTAGGGGTTGAGTGTGAATGGGCTCTGCTCAGAATCTGTATAACCTTTAGCTGGGAGACAGGTGGTCCTGGTGTTTCAAGACCCCATACACAGCCAGTGAATTTCCAGGTTTCACAGAGTAGGAAGGTTGTTCCACTCACTGGGCAACTTCAGACAAGGACAGGATACAGATGCAAATCAGCGTCAGTAAAAGGCATACTGGGCAGAGTCCCGGAAGGCAGGCACCAGTGTTCAGCTGTGTTGTCTGTGGAAGGTGTCCAGATGATGGCCAGATCTCTGGCCATGAGGAGGGATACAGACATAGTGTCCCACAAATTTAGCTCTTCACAAAAACTCAGCCAAGGGGCCGGGGAGATGGCTCACTGGAATAAGTGCGTCCCTGGAAAGCACAAGGGCCTGAGTTCCATCCCTGATTCCGAAAAAAACCCAAACCTCAGCCAATCTTGTGTTTATGAATCTGTCCTGTCAGCAGGGAGCTCACACAGGGGTGACCTCATGACTAACTCAGCTTCTACTCCAGGGTCAGAGAAGCCAGCCTGAAACCCCCACTAGGTGACATTCGTGGACTAACCTGAGGTGTGCCCTGTAGATGCTGCTATACTGAGACTTATTAGGAAGGTTGTGCTATGACCCTAGTTTAGGCTTCCCAGCTGCCTTTGGGGAATCAGGGATTTGTTTTGGCACCTTCAGAGTTGACATGCAGGGCCTTCGAAGAAAATCACGTATGTACTTAGTGTATCATGATCACAGTTGTATAATATTTGTATCAATTTGTTTTGATTGTGGTCTGATACCTACTTTACTTTGCTCTTTTTTATCCACAGGTTTCTTTTCATTGAACAAGAGTGAACTGCTAAGCTACATAGACCATAGTGGGCAACTCCCAGTGCCCCCAGCCCCTGGGCAACACTATCTACCATAGTATCTATGAATCTAACTATTATAAGTAAGTCATTCAACTACAATGATGCTGGATTCATCTTTGGCAGATGGCTTTTTTTTTTTTTTTTGAACCGGGGATTGAACTCAGGCCATTGTGCTTGCCAGGGAAGCACTTATTCCACTGAGCCATCTCCCTGGCCCCAAGATGGCTTATTTCACTTGGTGACATTCTCAAAGTGTATTCATTGTGTGACAAGCATCTGAGCATCGTCCTGTGTTAGGGCAGATTAAAATTCACCTTATGCATGTGCATTAGCACCTCCCCCCACACCATACACATATTGCTGTTTGTTTCATGGAAGCGTGAATGCCATAGTCCAAAAATCTTCCATAGAAAATTCTAGAAATATTTTTAAATTATACTTATTTGTTCATTTGAATCTGGGTTTCACTAAGTTGCTAAATTTCCGCAGGCTGAGTTTCAATATTTGATCTTTCTGCTGAGACTCTAAAAGAGCTAGGATTATGAGAATGTAAATTCTGTCCTACAGGGTGGTCAGTATCAAGTTTCCTGTACATTAGTGTGATTTTGAATTTTGCCAGGATATAGGCACACAGTGACACAATTTTCATTGTGATGCAGTCAGATAGGAAGGAAGGCTACTGAATATGCTGGAGATGGTGCTAGGAATCCTTGGGCACAAGTTAATCCCTGTGGGACAGCAGAAGTCTCCCGATAGCCTGGATGACCACTGTATACAGTGTGGCATACCATCCCCGACGTTCAATTCCAGTCTGAGGTACAATCGCAACACCACAGTTCTGCAAATTCGCCCTCTCAGCTCCTTGATCTACACCTGCTTTTGATTTTGCTTCTTGAATCAGGGAATCACTTGTCTTCCCACAATGGCCCAAGGCTGCAACCCGCAGAAAGTGTCAAGTTCCATGGAGCTTTCCTCCCAGGACCTTCCCTTGCCCAGTGTAAGAAACAGGAAGATGCAGGAGGTGCAAGGTGTGGGTAAGTGCTGTGCCCTTGGCCTTCCCTGCACCCTCTGCTTGCAGTCAGCACACAGGTTGCTTCACACCTTAGGACAAAGGGCAGCCTTTCCAACTGGCTTTATAAGAGGGCAGCCTGCCTGTTCAAATATGCAGTGTGCTGGACTGTGCTTCATCTTCTAGCTGACTTCAGCTGTGAAACACTTTGTGCATCAAAGGAGCACAGTTTGAAGAACACAGTCATGGTGCTACTGACAGGGGATGTGCTGTTCTCTGTGGCCATAGCTTTGGTCATCTTCCTACTCCTGGTGGACCTGATGCACCGGCGCCAACGCTGGGCTGCTCGCTACCCACCAGGCCCTATGCCAATGCCCGGGCTGGGCAACCTGCTGCAGGTGGACTTCCAGAACCCATCATATTCCTTCTACAAGGTGGGGAGCTGGAGGTGGAGAGCAGCAATGGTCAGGTGGCACCGCAGTAACAGACACTAGGTTGTGGTTGTAGCTACAGCTTAGACAAGGACATGGAAGCCCAAGATGGGGAAGGCAGAGCACCTATCATATAAAGACTCTACCAGAGCACAGATCATCTGGACTTTCCATAGGCAAAGGTCTAGGAGGGCAAACAATGGGAGGCTGGGCAGGACGTGGCAGTGGGGCTGAACCCAGATTGGATGTAATTGAAGTTCCATAGGACCCAAATCCCTTCTGATGCCAATGAGTGAAAGGATTGTACATGAAGGAACAGGGCAAAAGGGTCTTAAGCAGCACTTGAATCAGGACATTGATACAAAGAGCTACTGCTGTGACGCGCATCAGATTCTATGGCTGCTGTAGGGTTCGAGCTTCTCTGCTCCAACTTTTGTCCTGAGTTTTCTCATGTGAAGAATGGGAGGCTAAGGGGCCTCACCAACAGTTTCTCCACTCTGCCCAGATCACAGCTGAGTGGTCAGAGTTAGATCTACCGTGATTGTTCTGAACCTAGGAAGATGGGAGGGCACTAGACACTAGAGGTCAGGGAGTCGAGGGGCTGGAGGAGGCCGTGAGTGCCATCCTCACTCCCATAAGAAAAAGCCAGGGCCTGGTGGGTTAGCTCAGTTGTTTAAAGCGCCTGCTTGGGCAAACTCAGTCAGGTGCAGAGGACCGCAGTTCAATCCCCAGCTCTACAAGTCGAACCACACCTGGCCAATAAAGGAAAGATAAAACCAAGAAACAGCAGCACAGCTGAGTCTTGCACTGTTGAACTGGGTCTCCCTGTGTTGGGAGTGAGGCTGGGACCTGCATTCTGTGAGGTAGCCCAGCCTCTCAGGCTCCCTGGCCTCCACCTACAGCTGCAGCACACATTTGGGGACGTGTTCAGCCTGCAGTTTGCCTGGACTCCAGTGGTTGTGGTCAATGGGCTGGCAGCAGTACGGGAGGCTCTGGTGACCCTTGGTGAGGACACCTCAGATCGGCCCCGAGTGGCCACCAACGAACTAATGGGCTTTGGACCGAGATCCCAAGGTATAGGTCAATAGGGCACAGGTGGCATCAAGGTACAACCCTGGAGCAGTGACTCAGGACTGGGCTGCCTGGGCATGGTGATGTGCTCCAGGCACAAGGGACATCCTTGACTTCTTGGCATGAGGCCTGGACAGGAGCTGGTGCCCAGGGATGGAGACAGAGTTTGTGTGGGATCAGCAGCCAGGACTGAGTGATCTAGAGCACAGGTTAGTAGTTTCTGGTACAGACAGAGGCTCCCTATTGCAGGAGTTATTGGGGCTCCCTATGGACCCGCCTGGCGTGAGCAGCGGCGCTTCTCTGTGTCCACCCTGCGCAATTTCGGCCTCGGCAAGAAGTCTCTGGAGCAGTGGGTGAATGAAGAGGCCGCCTGCCTCTGTGATGCTATCGTCAACCATGCCGGTGGGTGATGGGTGCAGGTTACAAGGAAGGTACCTATACATGAAAGATGGGGAGAAGCAACAGCACTCTGAGGAGCCTCCCTACTCACAGGGCAGCCCTTTCGTCCCAATGCCCTGATGACCAAAGCTGTGTGCAACGTGATCTCCTCTCTCATCTATGCACGCCGCTTTGAGTATGATGACGCCACTGTGATCAGATTGATAGAACTGATGGAGGATGGCATGAGGAAGGCCAATGGCTTGCTGCTTCAGGTACAGGGTTCAGGGCAGTCTGTGCAGGCACACATTCCTGCAGAAGGGCTCTGGGAAGGCAATTTGCATGCAGTGGATGGGAAGGAAGCATCAGGGTAAGAGCGCTGAGGTAGAAAGATCTGTATGTCGCAAATCAGAAAATAGTAAGGGAAAGGTGGCTGAGGTTCAGGGAACCAGAAGGGAAAGCTTGCGTCCATGTTGGAAACCATAGAAATTCCTGAGATTGCCATCGTAGGAAGTTCATGTGGCAGCTCAGCACCAGGACAGAGCTTTGATGCTGGCCCAGGGGAAAGAAGGACGGGTCAAACATGGAGAGTCTCTCAGGTGTTAGGCCACCATACAGGAGGCTCGGTGTGAGACGTATACGTGAGTACAGAGCACAGGAAGTACCCAGGCTGTCCCTGTGTTGTCACAGGTAGTGAACGCAGTGCCATTTCTCACGCGCATCCCATGGGTGGCTGCCAAAGCCCTGCCCTCACAGAGGACAATTTTAGCTATAATTCACAGTCTGTTGACTGAGCACAACACAACCTGGGACCCAGACCAGCCACCCCGTGATCTGACTGATGCTTTTCTGAATGAAGTACATAAGGTGAGATGTTCTGTGAGAGACGGGATTGGGGGCTGTGGGCCAAGTGTTCTGGGAGACAGGAGGCCAGGTGGGGCCTCCGTTCTCCCAGAGATCCAGCCCCTGCACTGATGGGTGCTCGATGGGGGGCCTAGGAGCTCTTCCTCTAACTTCCCACTGAAGCCACCCTCTCTGCCTGTCTCAGGCCAAGGAGAACTCCAAGAGCAGCTTCAATGATGAGAACCTTCGTCTACTCGTATCTGAGCTGTTTTTTGCAGGGATGCTGACCACGTCAATCACAATGTCCTGGGCCCTGCTGCTCATGATCCTGCACCCGGATGTGCAGTGTGAGTTGGGCTTGTAATGAATGGGAACTCAAAGGAGGAGTGAGTGGCACATCCTAAAGCTTACTTTGAAACACATGGTTCTAACCAGATTCATGAGATGTGGTCATAGCCCCTTAATGCAGGGATGGAGAATGTCAGGGCTCTGTCCACAGGAACTGATCCTCCATGGCAATACTTCTGTGCAGACCGTGTCCAGCAGGAGATTGATGAAGTCATAGGGCAGGGGCGGCGCCCAGAGATGGCAGACCAAGTCCGCATGCCCTTCACCAATGCTGTGATTCATGAGGTGCAGCGGTTTGCAGACGTTGTCCCCTTGGGTGTGCCCCACATGACATCTCGTGACACTGAAGTGCAGGGCCTCTGCATCCCCAAGGTAAGCCTGGGGTCTTTCTTCCCTAGCATGGCCACGACGAAGTGTGGCTACAAAACCATCTCCTATGGAGAACCACCATACTCCTGGTGCTGTCCGGCCCAGTGTGGGTGGGTTGGTTCTGAGCACAGGGCTGCCCTGTCCCCTCTGACCCTACAGTGTAGTTGGAGGAAGAATTCATGCATTTTAGTTTTAGGAGGATCCTGTGCAGCTGAGGAATAATACATGTGTAGGCACCCAGGGGATCCCTGATGGCTGGCATTGCCAGAGGATCAGTAAAGTCCCAAGAACCTCCTGGGACCTGTGCATAAATGAAAGGGTCCTTGTGATCCTGCATTCAGCAGCCTCTGTGCCTCATCCAGTGTGCTTATGCTTAGCGTCAGGGTCCTGTGTCCTCTATCCCAGTGCACATCCATGCCATGTCTCCTGCCAGGGGACCATGCTCATGACCAACCTGTCATCTGTGCTGAAGGATGAGACTGTCTGGGAGAAGCCTTTCCACTTCCACCCTGGACATTTCCTGGACAGCGAGGGCCGCTTTGTGAAACGAGAAGGGTTCCTGCCCTTCTCAGCAGGTGATTGTATGAGACCAGACTCCCTGTCCTCTTCCAGGGCACCTCAGTGGGCAATAGCCCAAGCCCAAGTCTGACTGAGCCCCATCACTCCCATAGGTCCCCGCGTGTGCCTTGGGGAGCCCCTGGCCCGCATGGAGCTGTTCCTCTTCTTCACCTGCCTGCTGCAGCACTTCAGCTTCTCTGTGCCTCAAGGGCAGCCCCGGCCCAGCGACCGTGGTGTGCTTTCCTTCCTAGTGACTCCAGCCCCATTCCAGCTATGTGCTGTGCCCCGCTAGATGGAGCACTGTGGCCCCTACTTGTCCACTACACAGATGACTTGGTATCTAGTAAACCAGTGTTGTGACTGTCACTAGGTATCTGTGTCCAACCCTCTTTATTCAAACCCTATGTATGATGCGTTCACCTCTCTGTCTAAAGCCACCTATGATCCCCTGCCTTTTCCATCTCACTCTGATCAGTGCTCTCAGCACAAGAGAAATGTGTGTACTGATGCTCAGCAGGTGGAAGCTCAGCCCATGTCACTCAGGGAGACCCAAGACTGGCAGCTGAGTGGCTGGCAAATCCAAGACAGCAGTCTGAGCTCCATGGGTGTCAGGTTGGTGCTGAGCATGAGTGGCTTTCTCTTGGGAATAAACACAGTTCCTGATGGGGTGCTGGTTCATGTTGGTGAGACATTAAGGTGATATACCCACGGTGCAAGCCCTGAAACTTTTAAGGGCCATGAGTGTAGTTAGTATGCATAGGGCCCCCCTACCTGTGCTAGAGGGGTTCATCCTTCCAGTCCTTCATCAGTATTTGGTCCCCAGGCTAGATAGGTTACAAGGGTGTTTGGAGGGCACTGGGCCATGCTACAGAACAGTCACAGATCCTCAAGGACACAATGATGTGCGTTTATTTGGCAATGAAGCTCAGTTGACCCAGCTTCTTGGAGTCCCTGCACCAATATAAAAGGCTGTCCCAACAAGATCGTGATGGGTGTGAGGCCATGTCAGCTAGGTGTGCACTGGACTAGAGGAGTGTCATAGGTAATACAGTTGTCCACATTGCACAGGTCTCTTGGAAGAGCTTAGCCAAGGTGGACTAGTAGTTGTGTCTCTCTACCTGCCCACAGCCCTGGGGCCAGTAAGCCATACAGTTTTTATTTTACCCCCAGAGTTGAGGCCACCTCCTGGACTACTTTACCTATGAACGTTGCCCCATTATCTGGTCCAAGGCCCATGGGTAATTCATATCGGGACGATTAACTCCACAAAAGCCTTGGCTACATCTCTCAAACTTTCAGTCCTACCCAACTTGAGCAGGTACAAAACAGTAATAGCAGGTATTTCTAACTTCTAGTTGTTGGCTAAACCTTGGTGAAGTCAATGTCAACATCTTTAACAGAGTGGTCTCATACCTCCTAATGCCAGGCATGGTGTTGTAGATACAAAGTTTGCATCTTTCAGTCACAGAGGAGTACAATGTCCAAAATATGAGAACATAGAAATACCAGCAAAGCAATTCCTTA